CTCTCAGACTATAGCCAACAAAGAACTGTTGGGAATAATGTGATTCTTATATTTAATACCGATACTCATTAAAATAAATTATATTTCAGGAAGTGGGTAAGACAATGCGTGAAAAGTTCAACAACAACAATAACAATACTAATAATTATAGTTAATAATGATTGATAATCGTAAATGCATATTAGATTTTCAAATGTTACTGAACTTTACTGTTGGTGGTTGTTGTAAAATACAAATAATGAGATTTATGGGATTATTGAGAATAGAATAGATGTTTATTGCCATTTGCACAGGTACAGGACAGTACAGGTACATTGGAATTCTTGTGCGTTTCTCCCTGAGTCAGCTTCTACAAAAACAAGGTAAAATATATATAAAACAGACTAGCATTGTAAGAAAAAATAAAAATAAACAAGTTGTAGTAACAACTAAGTGATTTAAAATAAACTGTACAGAAGTTATACACTGTATTAAAGCAAAGATATAATACAAAAAAATAACAAGGGGAACACTGTACAATGAAATGAAATATAAATACGTTTTCTTATTGCACTTATTATCTCTTATTGCACCTGAGGTTATTGCACACATATTTTTCACATCATATAATTGCACTGTTTTTTGTGTTGTTGTTTTTAGGTTCATATTGCTGTTGTGGTAGCGGGAGATGCTCTCTGGCCTGTGATGTCGCAGGTTATAGCCCGAGTTCTTCCCCCTGAGATATGCTCTATTGTGATAACGACTCTAGCCTCAAACACAAGTCTGTTCAATTTTAATTGTCGATTTACTTCGTGTCCTGTGACAAATGAGAGCCGGACCGGACGAGAAAATGTATTCCGAGTTTTTTGCGCTCTCCGGGCCACCGTACTATCTTTATAAGCGGAAGTGACTCTCTGGCGTCATCTTCTGTTCGGCCTTCAGAGAAACGCAGGCAACACCCAACTTAGCTAAAGACTCGTCGACTTTAATGACAAATGGCTGTTGGTGGGTATAAACGTTTATTTGAATCGTATAAATACGGAAATGGTGGGCTAATTCATAAATTCTTAAGAAATAAAGCAAAAAAGTAGGCATAAAGCCAGGTCTGGGCGTAGGCTACTTTCGGTTAATTCCTTTTTCTCCTTTTGTGTTCAAGGAACTATTGTCGCTGTTGGAGCAGGAGCAGGTCAGATTATGAAAACCTTTGACTTTTATTCTCCCCTTTTTAAAAAAAATAATAATCTAAAAGAAGAGCAATTTAAATATGGACCCACACAGTCATGATAAAACACTTTTTTCCCTCCCTCTGCTCGGTTCGTGTCCGTGGATAGTGGGTGCTGTGGTCCTGGTTCCGCTTGCTCTCGGTGCTGCAGGTTTCACCTCAGCTGGGGTAGCTGCAGGCTCCGTTGCTGCCAAAATGATGGCGACCACTGCAGTGGCTAACGGAGGAGGGGTGGCAGCAGGAAGTCTGGTGGCTGTTTTGCAGTCAGCAGGTAAGAAAGTGGTGGACAATAAACTCCTGATGGAAGCGTGTGGTGTTGGACTCATTGGGTGTTTGTTATTGAAGGGCAATACAGTCAAATGTGCATGACCGTCAACATAGAAGATGTTGTTGAACACAATTTGTCTGGAACTGAAAGTGAAACATCAATATTTTCACACAAAAAAAAAAAACTCTTAAGCCATTGTAGATCCTTTTATAGAGTTTTTCTTAAGAAGTAGTGTGGCGCTTCAGTAATGACTGTTTACAGTAGCCTACTGTGAGGAATACAGTTCCTATTCTTGATGTATTCATTTGGCTTGACAACACAGCTGTGCCTGTTCTTGCTGCTCAGTAATAAACCTGTGCGATCTTCCTGTAGGTGCAGCAGGCCTTTCTGGAGTTGCCTCTGCAGCTGTGGCCACCGCTGGAGGAGCTGTGGGCTGGCTGGGTAGCTTAATTAGAAAACCATGAAAATACTTGATGAATCTTTACTTTTAAAATGGTCCATTTTGTCAGCTTAATTGCCAAACAGCACTTTTGCAATTGTATACATGCAGTGAAATAGTGTGATTTGTTATTAAAGTGTTGTTTATTTAGTCTTTTTTGTATGTTTTCTACTGTGTGCATTTGATTCCAGACTGCCAGACTCTTAAAGACTTTATTCTTCTTTCCAACACGACTATGTTTGACAAATCAGTTTGTTGTTGCCTGGGCTGACAATGTGAATTGTTAAGTAATGAAACTTTACAATCCATGTCAAATTCTTAATTAAATTAAGAGAAACGTGAAGAAACTTGTGACATGCCACTGGATTCTCAAATCTTGAGGGGCAAAGTGCAGATTTATTTAAATGTTCACCTTTTCTTCTACCTTCACATTTTGCAGTTCATGATCATAAAAGGGGAATACTTTCCACATGGTAGCTCAGATACAGCATGCAGGAATGAGTACTGTGTAAAGATCTCATTTCATAATAATGTTACTCCTAATCTTAAATGTTGGTGATCGCCACCACAATCCAGGGCTGATGCAGTCTTCTCGTTTTGCATCATCACAGATGGAAGTTTGTCCTGAATGCAGGTTTAAAGGAGCAGTCAGAATTAAACTGGTTTAAAGATTTATGTCTCTTGTGTTTTTCTCCAATTTTCTAACTTTCATGATTCAGCACCTCAGAAATGTTTCGTGTTATTTTGGGGGAAGTGGCTCCATGACACGGTGTCTTGGTCACACAGACACAAACGAAACTTACTGCAGTTTCATTTCTCCGGAAATACAGCAACAGCTGCGTAGGTAAATCTCTGCTCCGTTCAAATCTCATCAGAAAGAAGCAAGTCATGGACCCATGTGAGTATCACTGAACGCTATAATAACCATATAACCAGAGCTAACACCTTCCATAAAACATTATGATCTGTAAGATGTGACCAAGCTTTTCATATCTCGTCTTGCAGTTTCAGCTTTGGCCGCTGTGGCAGGAGGAGGTAAGACCTTAGTTGAACTCCTTTGTTTACTATCTTAACCTTTTTATATGCTAAACGATACATGATCTACGACGGGAGTATTAACATCTTAAATACATTAAGTGTTCTATGATGATGATCCAAAAATATGTAGTTTCATATCTGCAGAAGTAAAGCCCAAACACAACTAATCGGATGTTTTTTTTATTATTATTATTATTATTACAGAAACACGAAGTAGCCTATAACAAGATGCTCCACGTTTGTCATTTTCCAACATTTTCTTTAATTCTTGTAACTTTCACGACATGAATCTCGTAATTTAACGACTTTAATCTCGACATTTTTTTTTTTTTTTTCTTTAACGTGGCCCTAATCCTCCGTCGTAATGATCACTTTTAAAGCTCCCTAACAACTGATGACATTGTGAACAAAGTTTCCTCCCCCCCTGCTTGGTTCTTGTCCCTGTGCAGTAGTCGCTGTGGTCGCAGCTCCTGTAGCTCTCGGAGCCGCAGGTTTCACCTCTGCAGGGATCGTTGCAGGCTCAATCGGAGCTAAAATGATGTCGGCTGCTGCGATCGCTAACGGAGGAGGGGTGGCAGCAGGAAGTGTGGTGGCAGGCCTGCAGTCAGCAGGCAAGAGGCTGCTCAAAATTACCACAAATATTTTGAAGTCATTGTTATTTGCTTTTTGCATATTGTGCTAATAATGCAATGTTTGTGGAGAATATAATGACACAGTGTTTGAAAGGCGTCTAAAAAGCTGATTTTTCTGCAGCACAGTAACTGAACATTTCCTGTGTAATCTCGTCATAGGTGCAGCAGGCCTGTCAGGAGCTGCCTCTGCAGCTGCGGCCACTGTTGGAGGAGCTGTAGCCTCAGTGGCAAGCGCCATCTTCTGAGGTGATTACAAGACTCATCTACAGCGTTTAGCTTTTTGCAAAGGTCATGGAAAATGTTTTAGTTTACTTACCAAACAGCTCTTTTCTAACGTTGGACATTAGGCCAAACGTGTTTGTTACATGCTGAGCAATGACTGATAGCCTTTTGGTTCAATGTTAAGACAATTCAGTTGTTCCTTGTGTAGAAGTTGCTTGATGTTATATTTGCATGCATGTTATAGTACTGCTGAAGCTGTGTAATGTTACTTGACCAGATTGTTAATCAATGTGCTTTATGTGAAAAGTGATCCTCAAGGTGGCGCCGGAGGAAAAGCTTCCAATCTTTGTTTTGGAACTTTCTATGATTAATAAAAATCCAGTAGGCCTAGTTGTTGACCTATTTCACTGTGGCCTGTGTCTTTCTTTTGTAGTTTGTAGAGGCCACATGCAGCCATATTGCTGATTATTGAATGTGTTCACCTTCCGTCCTAACATAAGAGTCACTGAGAAGTCAGGATGAACTATCATGTTTTACCTTTACGCAAAATAAAGAGACTGAACTGAGGAGGCTTTGCTGTTCCTGATACCTGTCATACAGCAGGGAAATAGCGCCACCTGCTGCTAGTTTCAAGCTGTTTACTGAGTGAAAGGCAAATTCTTAAATGGAAACGGGACTTGAGGAAAAGTAGAGGCCATACATTTAAGATAATTTTTTCCAATGATGACAAGTAATTTGTGATTGTTTTCCCAAAGTCTCAACTTGTTTATCTCGTGTCCCCAGAGTTGCAAAAGTACAGAGCAATCAGAAATACATTTAACTTTCCTGAATAGTGTTAGTTTGGATAATGACACGGCATGGTCTGGCCTTTCAAAGCGACCAGCCAATTGTTAATCCTGTTATCATGAGAGAGAAAATGAATTCTTTATAATGTCAAAACCAGTGAGAAAAGTGATTCCAGACTTTAAGAAAACTAGAGATTACTGGTTATCACGGGAAAACTGAGTCAATAAAATGTTTGCATGCATGTTGGCTGTATATTAGGTCATGAGATACTCAAATCTAGAAGGAAAAATACGTATTGGAATGAATTTTATTCAATAATGGCAATAAGTACTTGGTGTACATGAACACTGAATGCTTTGGGTTCAGCATGTTGAAACAAAACGACCTAATATAATGTCTAAACATCTCTGTTGTGTAAATACTTAATGCTGGACTGGTCATTTCTTTGACTTTGATAGCAAGAGCCAGAGCTAAACTATTTTTCTCTTTATTCACTGCAACAACAACAAAGAGTATGACATCAATACAGGTTTAAAGAAGCAGTCAGAACTAAACTACTTTAACAACCCTCACATGTTTGTCTTTTGTTTTCTCTCGATGTTCCAATTCTAAAATGTTGTTTGACTGGACTCTTTCAGGGCTGAGCTCAGATTTTAAATGTACAGTAGTTTCATTTAACATGAAATGATATGTAATTATGGTACTGATTAAACTCATACCACAGATCACAAGATAATTACCCTTGTGACGTATGCAGCTCCTTGTTGGAATATTGTGAAAAGTGTTTACTGAAGTCCTGAAGCTTCAGCACGTCACTGAACCCTTTCCAGATTAACTGACACAGCATTTATTTCCTGTTTCTTTAGTAAAGCATGTGTTTCTGATGACTACAGATAACACTCCTCAGCCTCACAGTCAACCACGCATGGCTTTAAGTGAAGTTCAGAATCAACAGTGCAGGCCTGACTGTGTATAAAACTGAACCCAAAAATGGTAAAGGGACTTGAGCTTGTATAGCGCTTTTCAAGTGTTCTGACTACTATAAGCACTTTTACAGCCTAGGTCATCCATACCCATTCACACACGGATGGCAGAGGCTGAATCCGTTTATACACATTCTGCCGACAAAGCAGCTGGATCAACTTTTGGGTTAAGTGTCTTGCTTAAGGACACATTGGACATGTGGGTTCAGGAGCCAGGGATCAAACCCTCAACCTTCTGGTTGAGAGAATGCCGACTGACCCACAGAAAACATGAATTATATATGATTTATTAGTTGGATGAGAAACTTGGTGGTCCCCTTTTCTTCAATTTGAAGTTGGATAACATTTTTCTTCAACAATTTAATGACCATTCTAAAAAATTAAAGTCAACTCAGACTTTTTTTTTTCTTTTCACTTCTGTGTGAAGATCTGAAACAAGTCATAGAATTATTTTATTTTATTAATAAAGCACATCATCACAGTTAAGCTCATTGTGCTTTAAATTGAGGTAAAAATACAACATACGACAAAAAATTTAGACCAACATGCAAATATTAAGGAGATCACAAAGAGGTCAATATATTTATATATATTTTTAATTTCTATTTTAAGCTTTTCTCACAACACTGTATTTGGCCATTAGATACTAATTTCTTGACTCAAAGTTGCAGGTTTCATTCAGTTTTCAGTCATCCATCTATAAGAGTATATCAACATTTATAATGAACAGTTTCTTCCAAGAAAAAGTCCTACATTACGTAAATGGGATCTTTTACTTATAAATGAATGTTGTACTTTAGTGCTAACATGGATTTGTCTTGCCTTTATTGGAAATGACAATGGATAGAGTAGGAAACCAGGGAGAGAGATCGGGTAATGACATACGTGAAAGGAGCCACAGACTGGTGTTGAACCCAGGCCGCCCACCTGGAGGACTATAGCCTCTGTAAATAGGGTGCAACATCACCACTAGGCCATCTGCAAGTTACAGTTTAATAGTAAAAATCCATTGAAGTAGCTTATATGAAAGAAGTCCATCAAAAGCCATGCATTTAGTAGAAAACAGCGTTAGAATCACTGTACACTGTGGTCACCACTATGTGTGAAAGTGTTAAATACATCCTGGATAAAACCACATTGTTACTGCAAGGGTACATTTCCACAGTTCTTTCAAGCTATTACAATATTTCTAACATCAGACTTTCCATTAGTCTTTAAAATGTACAATAACTACAGTGATCATTACGCTAAAGTAAATATTACTTTGGTTGTTATTAAACAAAATACAAAAAGGAAAACCATTACGCCCTCCCCCATCCTCAAGTCCAACTTCGCACATTCAATATAACCATAACCTGTTGGAGCACAGGGTGTTAACGTCAACCAATGAATCTTTATTTGTACAGCACCAAGTCATGATCTCAAGACACTATAAAAATAAGTGTTGGTTACTCATTGTTATATCATCTACAAAGAGCCAACATTAATCCATCATGAGCACAGCACTTTGCAACATTTAGAAAAGTTAGAGTGGCAGGGAAAAACTTCCTTAAGAGGCAGAAACCTCGAGCAGAACCAGAGTCATGATGAACAGCCATCTGCCGAAACTGTGTTGGGCTTGGAAAGTGGGATAGAGGGAGATGTAGAAAGAGAGAGAAGGATCGAGACACACAGAACAACAACAACAACAACAATAATGAATAAGATAGATCTAAAGATACATCAGTTATAATGTTAAAAGTATGTGTAGTTTTGGGAGTAACAACTAAGTATGATCATAAACTGATCAGTCTAATTTTTAGTGTTAGCAACTGTAGTGATGATGAAACGGGGAGGAACGATTTTTCGTACTTTGGTGATTAGTTAGTGTATTATTAATTTGGAATATGTGTCATTGATAGCACAGAAACCATGGCTTTGGATGGGAAATAAATCCTTAAAACTGCAACCCCTGTCATCTCTTTAGTTTGGGAGTCTTAGGCGGTCAGCCCATTCTAAAGAACCTGAGAAGTTTAATACCTAATGAAGCAAGTGTCAATAAACCAAAGTGGATCCTAATATTTTTTTTTGATAAACACATGTCAAATAAAAACAACTGAATAATATAAAAAGGTGTTTCCCCCTGATAGTTGAGAGAGAATGTGACACTCCTTCACAAATACTCATGACTGACCTCAGAAATGTTTATAACTTGTGTTTGTCTGGATTTATTTATAATATTGACCCAGTGACGCCCTCTTTTCTCTGAGTTTCGTTTCTCCTGAAATGATTCCAAACTCTCTCAGAGTATATATAGCCCTGACTCACTCAGATCTCACCACTCAGGATAACAACATGGGACTATGTGAGTATCATTCCTCCTTTGAATAATGCTGTGAAAATATTAATATGATGGCTTCTTCATGTTCCTCATTAGAATGTAATAATGATAGGGCACTGGCAAATATGTTTGATATAACCAGATGGGCTTTTAACATTGATCCTGGTTTTCATCCTTTCTTTCAGTAACTATCGCTGCTGTAATAGGAGGAGGAGGTAAGCCCTAAGAAACGCTTCATATATCAGCTCTGTTTTCTTTTTACTGATTTGAACTAATTTAATTTTAAAGTCACTCACATAAATGTAGAAGACTCTCATTACAAGACAGGGTTCTCCCCTGCTGTGGTCTTGTCCATGTGTAGCAGGAGCCGTGGTCGCAGCTCCTGTGGTTCTGGGAGTTGTAGGTTTCACTTCAGCTGGGATAGCTGCAGGGTCCTTTGCTGCCCAAATGATGGCAGCAGCTGCCGTCGCTAACGGAGGAGGAGTGGCAGCAGGAGGTCTTGTGGCTGGTTTGCAGGCAGCAGGTAAAAGCCTTTATTTGATTTCAAATGAATTATAATCTGAAGGTTGAAACTCCTGTGTTGGACTGTGATATAATCACAAGGGGATAATGACAGGGACATTATATGTCTTGTATTTTCAAAAGTAGATTAAAATCCCCAAATAAACAATAATATTTGAACTAATATAATAAAATACAACTATCATATAACAAAGCTGTTGATCCTAAGTTCAAGTTTAATGGTTGTTGTGGTATATTGACCACATTAGTTATTTATGAGACACAGTTACGCAGTGAATAACAGAAGCACAACTTGACAAAAGGTGCAATCAGTTCAATAATTTTGAATTACAATCTGTGTTTACAATATAGTCTTAAGGTATTTCTTATAATTACACCACATTATGTTTAATAGGGCTTTGTTCTGTTACCTCCTTTGGATGAGAACAATAATTTCTGAGCTTGTGTGATGTTGCTGTAGGTGCTGCTGGTCTGTCTGGAGCTGCTACAGCGGCTGTGGCAGGCGCTGGGGGAACACTTGCAGGGCTGGCTGCAATCATCATCTGACAACCATGAAGAAAAAAGATGAAGCCACAAAATGTTTGCTATTTTAAATGATAAGCTTAATAAACTAAACTCATCATGTTTCATCTTTCAGACAACTAAAATGTTTGATGCAATAAATCCCTAAAGCCCATATACTGGCTCAGTGCGTCATCTGAATATTTCCTTTGCTGATAATGTCTCACAAAAAGCTTTCAGTAACTAAATCAATGGAAGTGTCCATGTAGTTACTGAACTCTATTGAAAGTA